GAGACAGTTTATATTTTATCAATTCTTTCATTCAAGTTTTCAATTAAAAAACTATTGATTTTGCTACCTTTGTACAGTCAATATACTGCAGTCTTTTAAATTTAATTCAATGGGCAGAATAAACTAAGTAAAAAAAAATTTTGGATAAGACAAAAAATCTTTATTATATTAACCTTAATAATTATGTTTTTTGTTTTATTTTTTTTTTTTTTTTTTTCATTAAATCATGCTTATCAAACCAGTCATAGTAATGACTTGCATTCCGTTATGCAATTATTTCAATAAATATTTGTCGTGTCGCGTATACGCATCTTAAACAATTGTGAACGTATATATATATAAATTATCTAAAAATTAATTCGATTCGTTTAAGTATCGCGATTTTAATCGATGGATCAAAGTTTACGTAATAAGGAGGTTATTATTGCGTGTCGCGTTTCATTTTTCTAGTATCGATAAATTATTTATTTATTTTCTTACGCGTATAACAAAGAACAAAAAGTAATTTTTTCAATTGTATAAATAATTAATCTGTGTCTATATAAGATGAGATAAATATTAAAAGAATAATCTTTGACGATAATCACGTTTATTAGCGAATCGAATCGAAAACTCGAGAATAAATATAAAATACGAGAGGGAAGACTTTTATTTTTAATCGAACGATATATCTGATTACACCGATAGACATTGTTTAGTTAGAATATAATTGCGGAAGAAAAAAAGATATAAAAAATACCGGAAATAATGCGATTATATACTGGCCGTCCTTGATGGACACGAGTAAGCAACTATTTCTTTGCTAAATGAGAATAAATTTATATTACACACCTCCATCTCTCTTCTCATCGAGAAAATATATTTATAAATCAACAGTTTTACCTTTTGAAAAAAAGGATCCACGCATATTTCTCAGAATCGCAATGTTTTTTTTTTTTTTTTTCTTTTTTCAAGATCACTAACTAAGAACACAACGAGAATACATTCTTGGGATAGTTGAATAAATGATCATCGAACGATCATTTATAATCATCATCATCATTATTGATCGGTTCAACAAAATGATCGATTTAATTAATAACAAATGAACGCGAAAAATATTGTAAAATATATTCCTAAGTTCGACTGAGTGTGTAGACAGTGAGGTGTGAGTCATAACGGGCTGCTGCAAGTTCAATGACCTACCGGTTTCATTTCATGTTACAGAAGTATAGAAGTAAACGTACGATGAGCGGGAAATTGGATTGTTAAAGGGAAACGAAACCGCGAAATTATGGTAAGAAACAACGATAAACAACACCCTGTTTAGATAAAATAATCCTAGTTAGTTAGTTGGTTGCAACTTCATTGCAAAATCACACCAAAAAAAAAAATGGGAACAGAAGAAGGGAAAGAAATAAAATCATAATAAAATATAAAACGTTTTTGAAATAAGAAACAAATGTTCATAAGAATATTTGGTATAAAAAGCAATGATATTATTCAGCACAAATTCATTTCAATTGTCATGATACTTGCTCGTTATTTAAAACATTTTTACGAGACTTTCATTAATCTAACGAATGCCAAAGTAACAACATCATCATCGTCTTTATTATCTTCCTCTTATTTTTCTTCCTTTATTCATTATTTCTTCTTTTTTTTTTTTTTTTATATAATACGAAAAGGAAAAATTATTGTTCTAATTTAGATCCAATTGTTAGATGACTTTGTTCTTTTTTTTCGAAATAAATTATCTGCAACTGGTTTGTAAATTTAAGTAAAGAAAGAATAGAAAAAACAATGTAACAAGAGGGGGGGAAGAAAAAAAGAAGATAATCCTGGTAAATAATTGTCACGTTGACGAGCCTATTCCTAGAGTCACGATCCTTAGAAAGTGTGTCGTTGGAAAGGAGAGCAAGCAGGACGTAATATAAAACACCAATGATGTCCTTCTTCTCCTCCTCGTCGTCCGTGTCGATGAAAACACTTTTAAAGCTTCGTTATACGTTTATACGAAGAAAAAATCCAGGTTATTCCGATGTCGTGATACTTGCGAACCTATTATTTCATTAACTTACGTGAAATCAAAGTTTTACGTAATGCCGTACCCGTTATATTCTCAACATCGATCGTTTCTGTTAGGAAAAAAACAAACAAAAAAATCAAATAATAACGAGGCTGATAAATATAATTTGTATGAACGCGTAACTAATTAAATATGATGAATAAATAATTATATGTAATCGTATAATTTAACAAAATTCAAATAATACTTTAATAGTAGTAATTTTTCTTACAGTTTAACCCTTCTTTGCATGATTTTTTCTTTTCTTTTTTAAAATAAATCAGGGTGATGTAATTAATTAATGCTCTAGATTAAAGGAAAAATATTAAAAAAAAATCCTAGTGGCTATTTTTTGACAACTGCGTTTTGTTGTACGCAATAGTCGCTTAAAAAGTTGCCAGCAACAACAAATATACAGTACAAGGGTTTTGAGTACCTTTTTTTGTTGACTAAATATCATCATTGAAATTTTCATCATCATGCAAAGAAGGGTTAACAATGATAAAAACAACATTGGTTATATTTTTTGTATTATCATTTAAAAACGAACTTTCCAAATTTCGTCACAATACGCGTACGTACCACCCGGTAGTATTTTTTATTCGACAAAAAAAAATAGTGATGGCAAAGTTTACCAATAGAAAAAAAATATGTGAAATCAAATGATATTTGAAGTGGAATAAACATAAACGAATCAGTATTTTATTTCGAAAGTTTATCACGTAGGTTGAATTGAGAAAGTTTCTTCAGCCCTATAACATAGAAACAATTTTAAACATTTTCCCTTCCCTTTTTTATTTTTCGATGTAGTGTCTCAAAACTTGTAGGAAAGAATAAGCTTCGGAAAATGTTTCAACTCACCCACCTCTCTCCCACTCCCTACTCACCACCCTCCTCCTCTTTCTCGTATTTCATGATCGAAATTCATATAATTTGAGTTTCTTGTATTCTTTTTTTCTCTCTCGTAACAAAAAATAAAAAAATATATATCTAGTTTGATTTCTAATGAATAAATAAAATAATAATAAATTCTAATAAATAATAATTTCTAATAAAAAATAATTTCTAATAAAATAAAATAAATAATAATTGGATTGGAAAAGAAATCAAGATAAGTTTCTCTAGAGTCTATACTCGGTTTCTAAACATTTTCTTGGGCCTCTCTCTTCCCCTCCCCCACCCACCCCACCCCCCATGTATAATAGATAACATTGTGAATCTGTCTTTCTTAAATATTTTAGGAGATAACGGTGTACGTGTGTATACGACGATCGATTCGAATATTCCTTCTTACTTAGTTGAAGAATCAAATGTAAAAAAAACTTCTGTTCATTATATAACAACTCAAATTAATGAATTATTCGTGTATGTTCATAGAAGAAGATAATACGTACACGCAAGTAACAAATAATTTGTTGTTGTTGTTGTTGTAACCTTTATTTAAATGCATTTAATTTTATTATGTTCTTGTACGATCACACACCATTTTCTTTTCTTTTTTGTTTTTGTTTATTTGTTCGATGCATAAGTATACGTGGCTTATCGCATAATTATAGAAATTTTGTTAATAAGTAAAATAAATTATTTTCGATTAATAATATTGTTTTTGGCTACTTTATTTACTGTTTCTTATAGAGTTCGATTATTATTAATTGTTTATTTAAATTATAGAAATAAATTTAATGTTTTT